TGTCTGTCTTGAGAGACATTGGAGTGCACAGGGTGGGGGAATTAAATGCATTAGCAGCATCAAAGTGGGGTGCATGCATGGGCCGTGTGTATGGAGGCCACTGGCCCAAAGGAAAGCAGAGGAATTGTTTGGTTTTATTCACCAGCTTGGCTCCAGGAGCTGCTGGAAGGAGGCGTACAAGGCGCCATCCAACCGATTTAAGGACTCCATTCTGGATTTGTGTTGGGATTACTCCATAGCCTTTCCTTCTGCCAAATACATCCCTCAAGTCCGCGGAGGTTTGGGATCAGAGTTTTGCCTTCTCCTAGATGGGCTCCCTTTCCAGGTGGACACGCCCCATCTGCCCTTCACTTCCCTCTGCAGAACGTGCAGAAACCACCTTCTTGACCATTGGACCCATGATTGGTGTCACTCGCTCAATCTGCTGGAGTCTGTCCTGGCATGCAGGGAAAGACTCATCTGGTAACCCCACCTGTCTTAGCTGGCCACATGCAAATTTAGGAATATTTGCTACACTTTAAAGGGAAAGATCAATGGGGAAGACAGCAACCAGCTGACCTGTGGGCCTGTTCTGCCTGTTGCCCAGGTGTTAACTGTTGATAGACAAACTCCATGTCCCTCTCAGTCTCTCTTTTTTTTGGGGGGGGGGTTCTTTCACTTTACATCAGGTTTGGACTGGACAGGAGATGTGTACTCTGACAGGCTTATAAAAAGAGGACTCTGTAAAGTAGGACACACATGGCCACGTTGGTCAAGCAGTGGGGGATTTCATCCTATCCTCCCTTAGCGGCTAGTGCCCATTGGGACTGATAGGGCAGAACTCAGGGAGCCCAACAGTGTTGTTGTTGTTTAGTCGTTTAGCTGTGTCTGACACTTCATGACCCCATGGACCAGAGCACACCAGGCACTCCTGTCTTCCACTGCCTCCCGCAGTTTAGTCAAACTCATGTTGGTAGCTATCCAACCATCTCGTCCTCTTTTGTCCCCTTCTCCTTGTGCCCTCCATCTTTCCCAACATCAGGGTCTTTTCCAGGGAGTCTTCTCTTCTCATGAGGTGGCCAAAGGATTGGAGCCTCAGCTTCAGGATCTGTCCTTCCACTGAGCACTCAGGGCTGATGGAGAAGTAGGTTGACAAGCAATGCCCCTCCCTGGAATGGTTCTATGCAAGAAGGCAGCCAGGTGGTTGGTGGGACAGTGCCCCATTTGCCCTACAGACTATGTCCCCCCACCCCACCCCATCACAGCTTGAACTGAAGAATCAAAACGTGTACAAAAAACCCCCCTAAATATATAAAGGATTCCTTCCCTGCTACCCAGTTTTTTTGTCTCCCATTTTTAATAAAGGGGATAATCATGCTAGCCTACCTTGCAGGGTTGTTAAGATAATATCTGGGGAGTGCTCCAGTGTGCTAAATATAGTCCTTATTCATCTTCAGCTGTCGCTTTTATTTATTTGTTAAAAGCATTCCTGGATTACTTGATGGTTGAAGGAAACTGCTTAACTCAAGTTAGCTCGACTTGAGCCAAGTGCGATTGAAGTGGGAACAAAGAGCCAAGATGCGCCTTCTGTATTTTTATTTTTAAACCGTCTGTGATCATTCGCAGTCTCCTTTCTTTGAACGTCTTACTTCTATGGTAACTTTCATTTCAGCCACTAAGTCTCGATGGCTTTCACAGCTACAGCTCGCCAGCAATGGAACCGACTGTGGCAGGGTTCCCCACCCCGCCCTGGTTTCTCCCCTAATGCAGAGGGGGGAAATGTTGTGTTTCCAAGGATGGAAAAATCCACATCAGATTTCTGTGAACCTCAGTGCTAGGTAGTTGGGCGCTCCCCCACTCAGCCCAAGTATTGTACTTTCCCAGAATCCTTTTCCAGAACAAAGGCCAAACACAACATGGCACACCAACCAAGGTGTGCAATTTTATCCTGGTGGTGGTGGTGGTGTGTGTGTTTGTGTGTGTGTGTGTAAGTGTTATAAATGAAAAGAGGTGGCAGGAAGATTGGACTCTCCAGCAGGAAATGGGGGGGGTGCTTAACCCTTTCCCCTCCAGACATTTTTTTTTTTAATCAAAGACAGGAGAGGAGCGACTGGGGAGGGAATTTTTGAGGTCTCTGCTCCCCTCTACACACACACACACACACGTCTTTTGCTCAAGATTCCAGCTTCCCCTGTGTGCTTTTCCTTTTAAAAAATGCCAGGGCAAAGTTACACTCAGCTTTCCATCCTGGGTACTTTGGCCCTAAAGGAGTACCAATGATGCTGCGCTTCAAGCGAAAGTTACAACAGCCAATTATTTGTGATGTGAAGGATAGCTGTCGCTCTGAATTTTAAGGAAGGAGAACTGTCGCTCTGAATTACGTGTGCAACATAAACCTTGATGCCGTTTGTTTCTTCTAGGGTAAAGCTTCAGAGAGATGATTTAGGGTGGGAAAGTGGAGAGTGATTAACCCTTTCACCACAACACGTATTTGCAAGGGCTTGGGAGCCCCTCATGTGTACGAATGGTTTGGGGTAAGGGCACCGCAGAGCAAAAAGTGATGAGTGGGGACTGCTCCAATCCAACCTCCCTCCCTCCTGAAGCTGTTTTTCCCTGTACAAAACCGTCTTCAGAGTTTTGTTCATATGTAAACTGTAGGTCTGTCTTTAGAAGTGCCCAGTGCCAAAATTGTAGGCACTCGCCATCTGCACTTGACATCAGGGATATGCACAACATTTCGTAACCAGTTAAAAAGATCTCAGGTGATGAGCAGGATTTATTTATTTTTACTTTCTTAGACCTTGCATTGCTGCTGCCTGTAATGAATACAGTACTGGGCTAGATAGACAAATACACTAGGCCATATACTTTAATTCCCAAAGGAATGCTATCTGACACTATGCTATTCTGGTTAACTTGCCAGAGGCAACTGGCTAGTGGTTTTTGCAGGACACCAAATGCTGGTCTGAATCCAGCAATGCAAAACCGATGGGCCCGTGCCATCAGCTCTACTGAGATCCCAGCTCCATGGGTCTCCTCTCAATCATTTCGTAGCAGCCATTCCATCTGGCTGCAGGAGGAGGAGGAGAGACAGGAAACAGGACCACCCCACTGTCTCAGCTGACAGCTCCCTTTGGCTCCTCCTGTCCCTGAATTCTTTCCATTGCAACTGGTCATTATGACAACCACTATGCAGCCTGGTCAACGGGTGCCTTGAAAACGGAGCGCGCTTGTTTTCCTCTCCCCTCACCATCCTTTTTTCCTTTTGTGTCAAGTCTCTTGTAAACTCAGCTGGCAGAAGACTGCCTTGTCTTAACAGATCTTACGTTAGTTGCTCCGGGACTCTTTTTTGGCTTGGAGAGCAGGATAAAAATACTTCAAATAAATAAATAATCTTAGCACTTACTTCCCTGTGGGATGCTAGCTGGCAGGAGAGATTGCTCTCACTGCTGTGCCTAAACTTTTGATTGCCATTGTGAATATTAGAATTCTAGAGAGGTTGGGGGTATTCCTGGCAGTGTAAGCAAAGGGTGATTCCCCCCCCCTCCTCCTTCTCCAGCCAAAAGCGGAGGTTTTTATAAAGTGAAAGGAAGTCGTTGATGGGTAGGGTTTACTGTTGCTTCCAGCCAAGACCCAAGAAATCAGGATTTATGTTAGGAATTGATTGGAGTTAGATGTAATTGGCTTCTGTGCCTGAGGACAAGCAGAAAGCAGTGGCTTCAGAAAAGAGTGGAAGATACATCATTTGGCAGCATGGGACGACAGGCGAGGGAAGGCTCAAGAAACAGGGTATGTTGAGCTTGCTCAGAACGACTGCTAAGGGAGGGCACAATAGCAGTTTTCAAATCGGCTCATGGCTGAGCTGGGATTCGAACTTGGGCCTCCCTAGAGTAAGCCCAACGACTCCAGAGAGATTCCAAACAAACAAACAAACAATCCTATTAAAAATAGAGAGCCTATGAGCTGTAAAGGAGCTGTGAAGGCTACGAGGATAGACAATGCGGAGCCCATCAGCCCCAGCCAGCATGGAACCGGTAAAAGATTATGGGAGTTATAGTCCAACAACATCCACAGATCAGCTTGTTTGTTTGTTTGTTTGTTTGTTTGTTTGTTAAATTTGTATGCTACTCGTAAATCTCAGGGCAGTTCACAACATAAATTTGCAATATAATAAACACAAAATACGTCGTAAAAAGAAGAACAAACACAATCCAAAAATCCCCCTTCCACAACACATCAGATCAATCAGCCAAAGGCCTGGTTGAAGAGGAACGTTTTTGCCTGGTGTGCCTAAAGATGTATAATGAAGGCGCCAGGAGAACCTTCCAGGAGACAGCATTCCACAAGCAAGGAGCCACTGCAGAGAAGGCCCTGTTCTCCTGTTGCCACGCTCTGGACCACTCGTGGAGGAGGCACACTTAGAAGGGCCTCAAGGATGATATCAGGATCTGGCTAAGTTCATATGGAGACAGGCGGTCCTTGAGGTATTACGATCCTGAGCTGTTTCAGCAGGATCAGCGGTCAAGGGTGATGCCAATTGTGGTCCACAAGCAGCTGCAGACCCAAGTTTGGGAACCCTGGTCTCGACCAAGAGCAGGGACCAAGAAAGGTGCAATTGTGGAACTCCCCTTGGGACTGCCTTTGGAGGAAGCCATGGCTGTTTAAAGTGGCATGATACTGCAACAACAACAGTACTCCACCCACCTGGCTGGGTTTCCCCAGCCACCCTGGGCAGCTTCCAGCACATATACAAACATAATAAAACCAAAAACATAATAAAACTTTAAATCTGTAGTGCAGATGGGGCCCAAAGAGAACTACCATACATTGCTCCCAAGCCTGGAGGGCTCCATCACGGCTAGCAGAAATCGATAGATCTATCTTCCATTCTTTTAACAAATCTCCCTTCAAAGCCAGCTAGAAGAGGATTCTCATTATGTTAACTGGGGTTCTGAAACTGCGAGGTGGGAAAGATCACCTTTTTAAAAGGAAGGGGGACCTGAGTGTTTTGCGTTACTCACACACATAGGTGAAGTCATCCTCTTCCTCCTGCTGAGCCGGGGGTGCTGTGGTTGGGGACAGCTGTGTGGTACGGGGAGGCTCTTCTACGGGTTCCTCCTCCTCTGCATTTTCCTCTAAGATCTCCTTGCCAGCTGGGTCCCCCACCTCAGTTAGGGTGACCTCCTGCGCAGCCTCCTCTCCGGTTGTTTCTGAGAGCTCCAGAACCTCTTGCAGGTGCTGGGAAAAGGGGAGGACAGATGAGGAGAGTTAGAATAGGAACAGGCATCCTCAGGCTCACGGGTGAGAGAACAAATGCTGCCCTCCAGGTCTCTCTGCCTAGCTCCTCTGGACGCTTCTGAAGCCATACACCCTCCCAAGCCACACCCCTCACCAGTTCTGATTGATTTGCACCTGGAACAACTGATTAGTTCAAAATTGGGAAATAATAATAATAATAATAATAATAATAATAATAATAATAATAATAAATTTATTTATATCCCACCCTCCGAAGCCGAAGCCGGGCTCAGGGCGACTAACAACAATAAAACAGTACAACAGTACAACACAACACAACACAACACAACACAACACAACACTCTAAAATCATTCATTATAAAATTAATTAAAACCAAACCAATGGCAACCATTGGGCCAGAGTTCCGCGAAGATTGCCGAAGGAGGGAGTCAGGCTGTGCCCTGGCCAAAGGCCTGGTGGAACAGCTCTGTCTTGCAGGCCCTGCGGAAAGATGTCAAGTCCGTACTCAAGATGAGTACAACAAGGCTTTATATTGTCTCCCCGCTTATTTAACTTATATGCAGAATTCATCATGTGAAAGGCTGGACTGGATGAATCCCAAACCGGAATTAAGATTGCCGGAAGAAACATTAACAACCTCAGATATGCAGATGACACGACCTTGATGGCAGAAAGTGAGGAGGAATTAAAGAACCTTTTAATGAGGGTGAAAGAGGAGAGTGCAAAATATGGTCTGAAGCTCAACATCCAAAAAAAACTAAGATCATGGCCACTGGTCCCATCACCTCCTGGCAAATAGAGGGGGGGAAATGGAGGCAGTGAGAGATTTTACTTTCTTGGGTTCCATGATCACCGCTGATGGTGACAGCTGTCACGAAATTAAAAGACGCCTGCTTCTTGGGAGAAAAGCAATGACAAACCTAGGCAGCATCTTAAAAAGCAGAGACATCACCTTGCCAACAAAGGTCCGTATAGTTAAAGCTATGGTTTTCCCAGTAGTGATGTATGGAAGTGAGAGCTGGACCATAAAGAAGGCTGATCACCGAAGAATTGATGCTTTTGAATTATGGTGCTGGAGGAGACTCTTGAAAGTCCCATGGACTGCAAGAAGATCAAACCTATCCATTCTGAAGGAAATCAGCCCTGAGTGCTCACTGGAAGGACAGATCCTGAAGCTGAGGCTCCAATACTTTGGCCACCTCATGAGAAGAGAAGACTCCCTGAAAAAGACCCTGGTGTTGGGAAAGAGTGAGGGCACAAAGAGAAGGGGACAACAGAGGACGAGATGGTTGGACAGTGTTCTTGAAGCTACCAGCATGAGTTTGACCAAACTGCGGGAGGCAGTGGAAGACAGGAGTGCCTGGTGTGCTCTGGTCCAGGGGGTCACGAAGAGTCGGACACGACTAGACGACTAAACAACAAGTGTTTTTGCCTGAGTTCTGCTTTGCCTACCAGAATAGAAGACAGGAAGGGGTGTTTGCACACCCTCAAACGTTTTTCCAATGAAAAGAGGGATATGCTGTTTAATAATAATAATAATAATAATAATAATAATAATAATAATACTCCACCCATCTGTCTGGGTTGCCCTAGCCTCTCTGGGCAGCCTCCAACATATATAAAAACGTAATGAAACACAAAACATTAAAAAAAAACCTTCCCTATACAGGTGTCTTGCCTTCAGGTGTCTTCTAAAGGCTGTATAATTACTTATCTCCTTGGCTCGGGGTTTGCATAACTCCTTTATGCCAGTGTGGTGTAGTGGTTAAGAGTGGTAGTCTTGTAATCTGGTGAACTGGGTTCGCGTCTCCGCTCCTCCACATGCAGCTGCTGGGTGACCTTGGGCCAGTCACACTTCTTTGAAGTCTCTCAGCCCCGCTCACCTCACAGAGGGTTTGTTGTGGGGGAGGAAGGGAAAGGAGAATGTTAACCGCTTTGAGACTCCTTAAAGGGAGTGAAAGGCGGGATATCAAATCCAAACTCTTCTTTTTCTTCTTTACCCTCCAACATTATTCCTGCATTGCAGGGGTTTGTACTCGATGTCCCTTGGAGTCCCTTCCAACTCTACAATTCTATGATTTCTCCAATGAAAATATGGACGTCCTAAGGAAAACCAGGACATTCTGGGATCAAATCAGAACTTCCAACAACTGCTGGGGCCCCACGTTTGAGAAACATGGATCTAGTAGTGCAAGCCTGCATGATAACCCCATAGAATGCAAGCCACTGGCCACCTCTTGCAGATTTTTGCAGCCCCAGGCTGACAGCAAAGCTGCAGGCAGATAGGCTACATTCAGGTTGGGAGGTAACAAGTAGGAAAGGGCTACTGCTCAGAGAAAAGACATGTGAAATGTCCCTGGTTCAATTCCCCAAGAACTCCAGGTGTGACTGGGAATGTTCCCTTTCTGAAATCCTGAAGAGCCGCTGCTAGTGTCAACAATACTGAGCTATGTAGACCCTTGTTCTGACTAGGTATAAGGCAGCTTCTTATGTTCCCTAAAACAGGAGGAAGTGTAACTAAAGAAGCATGGAAGGAGCATGGAGGCGCAGATTGCAGCTATAACAAAGGCGGCATTTTTTCATCTCCGCCAGGCTAAGCAGTTGGCTCCTTACCTCTCTCGCCCTGACCTAGCCACTGTGATCCACGCGACGGTCACCTCCAGACTGGATTATTGTAACTCGCTCTACGTGGGGCTGCCCTTGAGACTGACCCAGAAACTCCAGCGGGTGCAGAATGCCGCAGCGAGACTCCTTACGGGGTCTTCGCTGCGAGATCACATTCATCCGGTGCTATACCAGCTGCACTGGCTCCCGGTGGAGTACAGGATCAGGTTTAAGGTGCTGGTTTTAACCTTCAAAGCCCTATACGGCCTAGGACCCTCGTACCTACGGGACCGCCTCTCCTGGTATGCCCCACAGAGGAACTTACGGTCCTCAAATAAAAACATCTTGAAGGTCCCAGGCCACAGAGAGGTTAGGCTGGCCTCAACTAGAGCCAGAGCTTTTTCGGCTGCGGCTCCAACCTGGTGGAACGCCCTGTCGCAAGAGACAAGGGCCCTGCAGGACTTGACATCTTTTCGCAGGGCCTGTAAGACAGAGCTGTTCCACCAGGCCTTTGGTCAGGGCGCAGCCTGACTCCCTCCTTTGGCAATCTCTACAAAGCTTTAGTCTATGGTTGCCATCAATTTGTATTTTAATTAATTTTTAGAATGTATTTATAATGTTGTACTGTTTTAGTGTTGTTAGCCGCCCTGAGCCCGGCTTCGGCTGGGGAGGGCGGGATATAAATAAAATTTATTATTATTATTATTATTATTATTATTATTATTATTATTAGGTGGAACCTCAGAAACCATCCAGGCAAAACTTTGATCTAACTTTGGTTTTCAAAGTGGGTGGTACTGCCCCCCTAGGGGGTCGTGGGATTCCCTGAGGGGGTCTCTAAGAGGCAAGGGGGTGACAGGAGAATCCTGGAGGTGTAAATGGCTATATCAGTCCTTGAAAAGCTGGTATCGCTGGACCAAGTTAATCTGTTTTGTTAAATTAATTAAATTAAATACCGTAGTTTTGATTGGAGTTTGAATAAATGTGCAATTAATTCTTGCGTTTTTCAGTTTCAGAAAGCTCAGTCGGTGGAGCATGGGACTGTTAATCTCAGTGTCATGGGTTCGAACCCCACATGGGGCAAAATATTTCTGCATTGTAGGAGGTTGGACTAGATGATCCTTGTGGTCTCTTCCACCTCTACAATTCTACGATTCTCTGATTATCTTCCTTAATGAGTCATGCATACTGCTTTTCTGAATAATGCTTTTTTATAGGGTAGGTGGTGCTGGGATAGTTTTATGGAACCTTGGCCCGAAAAAGTTTGGGAACTCCTGCTTTAGAGATGCTTAAACAGTCATGTTTGTCAAGATATTAAGTAACAGAAACAGACGGAAACAGGCAGAGCAAACAGTGAGATCGCAAATGCACACTAGATAATCACTAAGCTTTGACTTGGCCATCCACGGAAGATGCTAAGCCAAGTCCCAAAACTTGGTTACTGCTTCTAAAAGAGTTCCATGTTTTAGCGTCCAAGAGGATTCAGAAATCCAGGCTTTGCTCCAGACCTCAGTCACAAGAACGCAGCAGCTTGATGGCATCTGGTCAGCTGGCAGTCAAGCAACACACAAAGCCTTGCTCAAATTGAGACATCCCTTTAAGAAGGAAAAAGCATGCAAACACCGAGTGTGGGGTTTTTGGGTTTTTCGTTTTGACATCACAGCACAGGTGAGGTCACCCTGTTCCTATCATCCTGCCCTGGATTTCCCAGGGCCTGTTAAGCGCACGAATTTCAGATGCGTGTAAGACAGAGGCCTCAACTCCTCTGCAAAAAGGAAATAAGAGTCCGTGTGGTGAGAGCAGGCTGAGTTCAATGGCTGTAGGGCTGGATGGGAGAGGACAGAATCCAAGCTGTAAGATTATTCAGATCAGGGACCCAAGAGAGGGGTTCAGGGCAAACGAAGAGTTTTGTATAAATTACTTGAGTACGAACATGCATGTGCAGTCAGACCTACTGGATTTTTTCCTGGCTGCCTGAGTAGGTTTGCTTGGAAAGAGAGAGAGAGAGTGAGTGTGTGTCTCTTAAGTAATATGTTTGGGTTGGAGGCTGGAACTGCCCCAGATCCTAGTATGTCTAAGAAAAAAACACAGAGCAGGCGTCTAAACATTACGCAACTGGAGTGGCCACGTGTCCAATTTTACAGAGGGCAGACCTCTATTTGAAAGCTGTCAGAGGACTGTCTCTTTTAAAACTGTCCTCTGTTTGAAGGACTGTCAGGTCTGGTATAAGGATAAAGGATAAAGAACTGTGCCCGTCAACTGTTATCAGATACCCTCCAACATTTCTCTGATGAAAATAGGGACATCCTATTCCATAATAATAATAATTTTATTATCTAGGTAAAGATGATTTTATTATCTATACCCCGTCCATCTGACTGGGTTGCCCCAGCCACTCTGGACAGCTTCCAACACATATAAAAACATAATAATAATAATAAAACATAATAATAAAACATTAAACTTTTTAGAAAAAAACTTCTCTATACAGGGCTGCCTTCAGATGTCTTCTAATGGTTGTACGGTTACTTATCTCATTGGCTTGGGGGGGTGTCGCATAACTCCATACCCTCCAACATAGGGGGAAATAGGGGTGTCCTAAGGAAAAGTGGGACATTCCAGAATCAAATCAGAAACCAGGGCAGCTTCTGTAAGTCCAGGACTGTCCCTGGAAAATAGGGACACTGGTTGGGTCTGTTATCATTGACAGCAGACCTAGCAGGCACAGTGGTCACTTGGCCACAGTTTTCCCCACGACGACAAGGTGGACTGTGTTTTTATTTCAATTGCAGTAATTATTTGCATCTAGACATATAAATTAGCAGATGCAAGTTTTGTGAAAGCCTGTCCTCTTCGGTCCCCCTAAGAATTCTGGGAGCTGTAGTTTGTTAAGGGTGCTGAGATTTATTAGGAGGCCCCTATTCCCCCTCACAGAGCTGCGGTTTCCAGAATGGTGTGACAACGGATTCTGGGAGACAACCAGGAAAATGAATGCAATAATAGTCAAGTCTGAATGTGGCATTCCCACATAGCAGCTGAGAGCGAGGTTGATGGTGGGTCCCACTCCATCCCATTTCCATCCCATATGTGTTCTCTGAGGCTGCATACACACCATATATGTATTTTTCATCTTTGTTGGAAGCCGCCCAGAGTGGCTGGAGAAACCCAGCCAGATGGGCAGGGTACAAATAATAAATTACAGTGGTACCTCGGGTTAAGTCCTTAATTCATTCCGGAGGTCTGTTCTTCACCTGAAACTGTTCTTAACCTGAAGCACCACTTTAGCTAATGGGGCCTCCCGCTGCCACCGCGCCGCCGGAACACAATTTCTGTTCTCATCCTGAAGCAAAGTTCTTAACCCAAGGTACTATTTCTGGGTTAGTGGAGTCTGTAACCTGAAGCACATGTAACCTGAAGCGTATGTAACCCGAGGTACCACTGTATTATTATTAGTATATTATATCAAATTCATCCACCCAAAGAATCCTGGGAACTGTAGTTTTACCACCACCACACAAAGAGCTACAATTTCCAGTGCCCTTAACAAACTACAGGTGTCAGGATTCTTGGGGGGGGGGCGGGTTAAACATTTGGTGTGCATGAAGCCTTAATGTCTACACAGGGGTTCACTTTCCTTTGTTCATTTCCCAGTCCAACACATTTTGCTGCCTGAAGCAAAGCCATAAATTGATTGCTTGACAGATTGCAGTGGGGAGCAGGGCATGAGAACCCCCAGTATCCTTTTGGTGTTGCCTAATGGATTCTGGGAAACGTTTGCATCTTGGATAAGAGCAGGCCGGTCATTCTGGAAGCAACATAATAGGATCTGTATGTATCTAGGGTTGCCATATTTCAAGAAGTAAAAAAATCGGGACACAATCAATTGCTGAGCTTTTTTGGGGGAAATCGCCCCAAAGGTTGTTAAGCTATTTTGGGGGGAAACACACAAAAAGTTTTTGAGCTTTTTCTCCCGTTTGCGAAAACCCAGACATTTCCCCGATTTTTATAAAATCCCCCCCGGATGGTAATTTCGACCTTGGAATCCCAGGCATGTCCGAGAAAAACCAGGCATATGGCAACCCTATGCATATCATACACCCCTTCCCCGCTAGGAATCCTGGGGGCTGTAATTTGTTAAAGGGGCTGGGAACTGTAGCTCTGTAACTACAGTTCCCAGGATTCGTTGAGAGGTTGTGTGTTTTAAATGTATGGTTTGCACTCACACGCTGTTTCCAGCATGGCAGTCCCCGTCCCCCCGCCCCCCCGAGTCCCCTGGCAAATTGTATTGGCCCAGACCACTCTCCATGCTGCCCCTGTATTTGTCCCTGTGTTAGGAGATGGGGTGGTGCCAGGGAAATGGAGTTTCTCACCTTCAGCATCAGGGCTCTTCTTTCCTCCTCAGAGCTCAGCTCATCCCTCTGTCCCCGAGCCGCCCCCAGCAGCAACCCCAATAGCAGCAGCTGCATCAGAGGCCAAATCTCCATGGCGCTGTCTCTCTCTAACCGGGACTTGCTGGGGGAGGGCGAGAGGTCAGTTATCCCGAATCTCCCACCCAATGAACTCAAGAACGTACTGGATCTGTCTCCCTCTCTCTCCTTCTTTTCCCTCTTTCTTGGATTTCACGCGATGTCTGCCCACTCAGGCGATGGCTGGGGCAGAAATGGGGGGAGGGAGGGACAGAACTCCAGCCAGCCAGAAGCCGGAATGTCTAATTCAATCCAGATGCGAAAAGCAGGCCAGGCCAAAGCCTCACCCAAGTTGGATTGCGAGAGAGAACTGTGTTATGTTGGGGTTGTCACCTGGCCAGCATAAATCTGGATTAATTTATTCCTTTTTGGTTAGCTTTTTTCTTAAAAGTACAAAAGTTTAAAATATATTCATTATCTGTGGGGTTTTCCGCCACCCCTCATTTATTTAACCTATATAATTTATATCACACACTTTCATTGGGTGGCTACAGAGGAAGGTCCTCTGTTTGAAGCTCTGTCTGGAAAATGCCCTCTTTTTGAAAGCATCCTCACTTTCAAGCGCTGTCCAATCCAAACCTGGTTTAAAGAAAAGGAACCCTAATAAAGTTCTTGAAACTGTCCATCAACCGTCAGCCCCTGGACCAAAAATGCACACGGATCACGTGGCAACAGTCTTCTTTCTCCACTAGAGTGAGGTGTCTTGTATTTCTATTCAAATGGTAGCAACTCTTTCCCAATGTCTGTGTATTCGTATAAATTAGCAGTTGCAAATTTCATGTCAATCTGCACTCCTCTTTTGGGAGAGTGGAATAACTGCCCACCCAACACCTTCACCATAAGTTTACGGTCCTTGGGCAGCTTAACAAGAGAGTAAGGACAGAAACATCACTTCTTATTATCATTATAAACAAAAACAAACAAATTAATGAAGCAAATTAATTCAGAAAACTGGAGGGGGAAAACAGTCATCCATTCAAATAAACAATAAAGTTGAGCGTGTGTTTATTTGCACACATTTAGAATACGTTTCAACAGGAAGTGACCTCCGCGTGGGCACTTTTGCCAGCTCCTTCCACAGTGCAGATGTTGTGCGTTTGTGTCTACGTCTCCCTTGGTCAATGAGCAGTGATTGTCCCTGCTTTGTGTCTGTGGGTCGCTCCCAACACATTACTCTTTCTGCATGCAGTGTGCGTGATAACCTTTCGCTTAGTGGGTGGTGGAAACGGAGATGCCGAACTAGTCTGATCTGGCAAGGCTGTGAGCAATTAACCCCCCAGCCGCAGCTTAGAACCTCCCTTAGCTACTAACTCACATCGCTGAGGCCACCAGGGGATGAGGAATCAGCTGTCAGGCATCGCTCTGTCACACCTGGATGCAGACCCAGCTGAGGACTGCTGCTCCTCCAGCAGCATTCTGTATGTACAGTGTTTTAATTGCTAGGAGCTCTGCTGGAAGCCAGTTTGGGGCTAAAAGGCAAGGCTGATCGATATAGCGTAATGTAACACCGCAGCGTGGAGTGCTCATGTTCAGGGTGCCTGCCAGCCAGCCGTGCCCTTTTGCAGGATACTCCATTCCATTTCCCTTCCCAGTGGTGGAGCAGAGCGAGAATGCAAGGGAGCACAGCTGTAGGACAGAGCAAGAGCAATGCAGTAATCTGCCGGAAGGCGGGGTGAATGAAGAGATAAAAGAGGCTCTCAGGTCCTTTTCTTTCATGTGGGCTCCTGTTTCCACACTAGTGGTTTGAATGGTAACCCTTCCTTGCAAGAGTGTTTGCACTTCTAATTTAAAAAGCTGAAGATCTTTGGAGTCTTTTGCACGTTTAACCTTTGCAGCCAGAAATAAGCACCGCTCAGTTCAATGGAGCTTCCTTCCAGGTAATTATCAAAGAATCATGGAGTTGGGAGGGTCATCTAGTCCAACCCACTGCATCTCAGCTAAAGCATCCATTTGTATAGGAGCTGAGGCTGGGCTACAAGAAAAGTGAAGCTGTTCTTGAAAGGCTAGTGATGAGGTGGTAAAATTCCTGTTCTGGATACTCCTTGGGGGAGTGGTTGTGGCTGCTGCCCTCTTACACACCATACTTCATCACTGCCACTGCACCTCCTACCCAGTTTTCTGTTTCCAACAGTCAGTCAGCACACCATGCCCAATGAGCATGCTCAGTCCCCCTCTAATGCCTGCTTTTGGGGTCCCCTCCCCATTGAGGGTTTTCCTCCCGCAACATGCGCTCTGTTTCAGCAAATCTTGATGTGCTCCCAAGCCTGCTGCTAATCTCCTTTTACGCTGCTGGTGTTGTTTTGGCTGCATAAAGCTCTGCTCTCCAAGAATGAGCTGCTATTAGAAGATACAGTGGTACCTTGGTTCTCAAATGCCTTGGTTCTCAAATGCCTTGGTTCTCAAACAACTTGGCATCCAAACACTGCAAACCCGGAAGTAAGTGTTCCGGTTTGCGAACTTTTTTCAGAATTTGAACGTGCCCATTTTGAGTGCCACACTTCTGTTTTGAGCATTACTGTCTGTCTGTTTTCGCTATTTATTTTGCATTTTTGTGGCTCTTTTTGTTTTTGTGGCTGTGTGGAACCCAGTTCAGTTACTGATTGATTGATTGATTGATTGATTGTGTGACTGCAGTACATTGTTTATTGCTTTCATTTTTTGGATCAATGGTCTCGTTAGATAGTAAAATTCATGTTAAATTGCTGTTTTAGGGGTTGTTTTTAAAAGTCTGGAACGGATTAATTCATTTAGCATTACTTTCTATGGGAAAGCGTGCTTTGGTTTTGGAACAGACTTCTGGAACGGATTAAGTTTGAGAACCAAGGTACCACTGTATAAGATACGTATCATAGTCTTCTTCTTTGGCGATCACTCATAGCCGAGTAAGATTGTCTTCCATAAACACGGTTTTAACAATGAGTCCGTAAGTGACTGCGGAGGCCAATTCTGGATCCACATGTCCTTCCACAGTATCATAGTATAGTATAGCTGGCTAGGGCTGATGGGAATTGTAGTCCAAAACAGCTGGAGGTGGGGAGCAGATGACAAATAAATTACAATCACAGTGGGGTAGGTCGGTATTTGCCAGTGGATAGGAGTGTATTTAGATGTAATTCACCAGTCTTTCTGAGCACCAACTTTGTGTGCATTTCCATGGTCCAGGCACGTCAGATAGCAAGTTTCACATGCGATGTGGGGGAATTACAGATGGCAGTAGCATTTATTGGAACATATACAGAGTCTGAATATTGGCCCATCTGGCTGGGATCTCTCCCAGCCCTTCTTGGCAATCCTGGGAATTAAACACAGGGCCTTCTCCATACAAAGCTTAGAATCATAGAATTGTAGAGCTGGAAGGGACCCTGAGAATCATCTCTTCCAACCCCCTGCAATGCAGGATCCTATATAAAGAGCTATTTTGTTGTTTAGTCGTTTAGTCGTGTCCGATTCTTCGTGACCCCATGGACCAGAGCACGCCAGGCACTCCTGTCTTCCACTGCCTCCCGCAGTTTGGTCAAACTCATGTCGGTAGCTTCGAGAACACTGTCCAACCATCTCGTCCTCTGTCGTCCCCTTCTCCTTGTGCCCTCCATCTTTCCCAACATCAGGGTCTTTTCCAGGGAGTCTTCTCTTCTCATGAGGTGGCCAAAGTATTGGAGCCTCAGCTTCAGGATCTGTCCTTCCAGTGAGCACTCAGGGCTGATTTCCTTCAGAATGGAGAGGTTTGAGCTTCTTGCAGTCCATGGGACTCTCAAGAGTCTCCTCCAACACCATAATTCAAAAGCATCAATTCTTCAGCGATCAGCCTTCTTTATAGTCCAGCTCTCATTTCCATACATCACTACTGGGAAAACCATAGCTTTAGCAATACGGACCTTTGTTGGCAAGGTGATGTCTCTGCTTTTTAAGATGCTGATAATGATCCTTCATGGATCACTGCCTTGCCGTGGCGAAGGGGCTTGAATAACTCAGAGATGCTATGAGCTGTGCCATGCAGGGCCACCCAAGATGGACAGGTCATAGTGGAGAGTTTTGACCAAACGTGATCCACCTGGAGCAGGAACCGGCAAGCCACTACAGTATCCCTGCCAAGAAAACTCCATGGACAAAGACAACAGGCATAAAGCGGTATAGAACTTTAAAAATAAATTAAATAAATAAATAAATAAATAAATGGCAGGGGTAGGCAACCTAAGGCCCATGGGCCGGATGCTGCCCAATTGCCTTCTGAATCCGGCCTGTGGATGGTCCGGGAATCAGCGTGTTTTTACATGAGTAGAATGTGCCCTTTTATTTAAAATGCATCTCTGGGTTATTTGTGGGGCCTGCCTGGTGTTTTTACATGAATAGAATGTGTGCTTTTATTTAAAATGCATCTCTGGGTTATCTGTGGGGCATAGGAATTCGTTCTTTTCTTCTTCTTCCAAAATATAGTCTGGCCCACCACATGGTCTGAGAGACTGTGGACCGGCCCCCTGCTGAAAAAGGTTGCTGACCCCTGCTATATGGAGATCAGACTTGCAACCTTGGCATTATGAGCAGCACACTCCAGCCAACTGAGCTATCCTGAGTGCCTGCGCTCTGCCCTTCCCCCCCCCCCAATTAGTCTACGTCCCAAGGATGTCAGTGTGTCCTCTCTTCTTTACACCTTGTATATGCCAGCCATGCCAGAGACTATGGCCCATGCCTATCACTGGCTATACTGCAGAGTCACACGTAAACCAGGATCAATTGCTCGGTCATGTGTGCTTTAAATGTGTCCATTGCTGGCTATGGTACAGCAGCACACACATTTTAAACTTTATTGTCCTTTCTTGTCCTTTATAACTGGTAGAAGAGACCTTTTTTTATTTTCCTGAGCTTTTCCAGCTGCAACTAGGTTTCCCATTGCTTTTATAACTTTATGGCTTTCAGCTTATTTTATTTTTGAATGCACATTTTAATTGTTTTATTTTATGGGGGGGGGTAAGCCATCCTGGGAACATGATGGAACATTGGTATAAAAATATCATGGAAAACTGCTCAAGACCTCAGATTGGACAGATGATATATCCCTTTATGGAACATGGCGATTATGGGGCAGTGGAGGGGGGGAATCACACATAATCTGAAATTTAGGCAAGGACTCCTTTTATATGGTATGGCATGCTTTTATTTACTATATGGCAAAGAGCACCTTCTCTTGGCAATCATCCCCATAAGTTTC